TTTTTTTTTTTTTTTTAAACTTGATTATGGGGCGTCGATAGCCTCAACGATTATGGTGTTGACATGGCACTTACCCTTATAAAGTAAAGGTCCCGGGTTCGAACCCAGCGGCCGTGTATTCGAGTCCGACATACTTACAATCGGCCTTTTTCTTAAAAATACAGGCACCCCAAGGGTTGATATATCCAAATTAACCCTAAATAACCCATAAATATCTATAATGTGTAAATAAATTACGTAACACTAAAAAAGTTAGTTAATACAATTACCTTTTAGTTCTAATTATAAAATAATTTCTAACATTTTTTTTTACAAAACTCAATTGATATTGTCAACCAGCGTTAGGCAAAAAGTAATTTTTAAATATTAGACTGTTACATATAGGAAGTAGGGTAAAGGATTTATTACAAGGAAGTAATACGAGTATTTATTAGTAATTATAGCAATGTAATATTGTATATATAATATTCGCAGTTATATAACAATTTCCTTTTTAGATGTAAGTTTGGTGAATAGTGGTTTGGAAATTGATCATCATTTCTCACTTAACCAGCAAGATGACAGAATGAGGAATTAGGTCGGTGTGTGAGAGCCCGGTCGTGGACGAATTATGACAGAAATATTAATCACTTACGGATCAGAATAGTTGATTAGCCCGGTATCCCAGAATTACGGATATTAATCTCGTCCGGTTCACCTGGTTTTTCCATGGAGAGTTTGATTAGGTAGTTAAAAAATGTTTTTCGCATTTTTTTTCTGCTTTTCTACTTCCGTAACAAAGTGAGATAGGTTCCCCCTTGTCACACAAAATTTTTTCTTCCTAAAAATTGTGTATAATACATTGAACATATCTTTTACTAAAAGCCACATGATAAAAACAATAAAATTTGGTACAAAAAGCATATATGTCACCTTGAAAAACATGATAGGTAAATATGGTAAATAGGTAGAAGTATAGATCGAAAGTAGACAGACCGACAATCAGTCAAAAATCCGAGTGATAGAGACAGACATACAGACGAACGGTCAGGTTAATAGATGGATGAATAGATATATAAATAGATAAATTGATAGATGAATAGATATACAGACAAAAATTGATTGATTGATAGACGATTTATGCATAGACATACAGGTACATATATCGATAAATAGAAAGATAGAGAAAATGAGATGGATAGACAATTAGAGAGATTGGGAGAGAGAGAGATATATATATATATATATATATAGAGAGAAAAAGAGACAGTGTAAGAGAGAGTTTTTAAAGTTTGGGATATCAATCCCATTGGTGCAAACTAAAATGTATTCATACTTAGTTGGAAACGTAGTAGTAAATGAATAGTCCTGTGTGGAGATGGGTGGTGTTTTGCTATATATAAAAAACGTATATGTAAAAGAATATATTATACTTTTGGGGGTCTGGTGGAAGGGCTAAAAGAATTAAAGAAACAGTATATTATTTAATTTACTTTCGTATAATATTTAGATTAAAATTAAGTTCTATTTTTTAACCTGTAAATTTCTTATACTAATTTTATAGTGACACACATAGATACTTTTTAGCCTTAGGAATGTACGATGTAGTTACGAATTAGATTTTACAACGGGTCGTACCTTCATCCACTTTGACATTCAATAAACAAATATAATATGGGAAGCTGTTTCTTCTTATCATCCATGCAGAATTTCCCGTTATCCTTGTAGTGATGTAAAGAAAATAATGAAAAATGTCTTCACATGGCTTGCATGTTAACACGTCTTTAAATATTCCAAGATTCTACTCGTGTATTAGAATACACTAGTTCTAGAGAATGTTGTTAGCTTAGACGAACTTTTGATGATGCAGTTAGAATTTCTCGAGTCCATTTACAAGTTCAATTAGGTCTTTGTCGTCTTGTGACCTAAGTTGATTTACGTAGTTTTGTGGATTTGCTAATGTCTATCAGGGATGGACTAAAAGTGTAACTGATGAACTTTTGCAACTTAAGTAGTTTAGTTATGACGAGAATGACAGCTAATATTTAAAAATTATTATATTTCACTGAGAGGCAAAAAAATGGCCAACCTTGTTTTTAGTAAATAGTTGCAATATTATGATTTTTTTGGTTTACGAAATAATTTTAAAGAAAAATATAACATTAAGAAAATAAATAAAAATTTAAATTGAGTAAATTTTATCAATATTTTACTATGGAAACAATGAAAAAATATTCAATTCAGTCCGGAGTATGTCCACCTCCTTGATCACCGTTTCCAGTCGACATTTTTTTGACAGGCTTTTAATATAGTGCTCTGGAAAATTGTCAAACTCCTCCAACAGCATCATTCTTAATCCTTCAAAATTTGGCATCTTTTTACCTTCTTTGACAACTCGTCTCAAAAGTGTTCGATAGGGTTCAAGTCGGGACTTCATAGTAGCCACTACACACTTTGAATTGAAGCCCATCCAAACCAATTTTAAAACCTACAAATTTAAAAAAAAATCAAACAACGGGAATTATGCACAAAACCTTACAAAAAAAATAGATTGACTATTCAAATACTTATTTACAACATCCACTTGCAAACACACGTGGGTTATTTTATCTGTGTTTTATTTATCTCTAATCCTTTAAAACGGACCAAATATTGTTGTAAGATATCAATGGAAGATCGTGTAAGAGAAAGTTAAAAATTTTAAGGGTGGCCATTTTCTTTCTTTCTTTTGCCTCTCAGTGTACATGGTTCATCAATTGGGGATGAGGACTTTTATTGCAAATGTCAATATTATCGCAATGAGACATAAATATAATCAGTTCTATAATATTACAAAAGCGAATAAAAGCCTTTTTCGTTAGAATTCAACAGGGAAGACATCAATGTTATTCATCAAACAGGGCTTCGTTGAGGAATGCGCTCGACGAATGTAAAGCTCGTTGGGTAGACAGGCGATGTGATTGATTAGACTTTCTTCGGATTTCGTGCCATAAATGTCATAGTCTCAGCGCGAGAGAGCGCGTTCTTTAAAGATTAAAACGAAACCTCCCTTTCAAAACTCGGCGTAACGCATATGCCGTTTGAACAAAAGAGAATAAGGTGAAATATTCTAGTCCGTCCAAGGAAAACAACGCATTCTCAAACGGTAAATCCCTCCTTTTTGGCGAAACGAATATTACAAGCGTAATTGCTCATCTTTGAAAATAATTAGATCACGATAGGTTTGGTCTCGCTTACTTGTAAGAAAGGTTAATGGTAAAGGTTAATGGAAAACGCGTGAACGTTTCTCCACCTAAATAAAACGGACATTATACATGCATAGACTTCCTAATTGCAATTTTCATTCCCTTTATGCATTAAGCAGATAATATAAATATCTAGATAAAACGACGGTCTTCTCTACTCAAGCCTAGATAAGCAAGAGCTAATTCTTTCGTAAGAATTAACTGACATTAAAAATACAATTTTCAATCACTGTGGAAGAAAAAATGTATCATTCACACATTTCAAATTATAACAATATGGAATTAGGATTATCTGTTTGGGAGAGATGAGAGAGAGAGAGAGAGAGAGAGAGAGAGAGAGAGAGAGAGAGAGAGAGAGAGTGAGAGAGTTTTTCATATCTTCCGCCGGATCGTCCGGACCCTTTGTCTTTCTTTATCTCGTCCTATTTTCTTTATATTCTCGAGAGACCGCTTTCAAAGCAGTACACAATTCCAGGGCCATAGATATAAACAACCCGAGAAAATACCTCTTTTATTAATTCAGCTTCTCCGAAGCTTGAAAATCTGTTGCCTTCCTGATGGCCTATAGCTAAATATTTTTTCATCGAAAAATGATCACATTTTCAACACAAATTGAATAAATGGAAAACCGAAATAAGAGATTAATAAATATCAATCTAATGATAGTTAAAACTCAATTGTAGATGATGTCAATCAATCAAAACTAATAGATTTCATCTTTGGATAAATTATATCTTGAAAAGAATAAACACAAAACATTTTGTTTCATGTTAAAATAATTGTATAGACTAGTAACGAGTTTGTGAATTGAAATAATTTAATTTTTGATACGTAATCTCACTTCATATTACTTTATGATTCATTCATTTGATGATTTAGAAAGTACAAAATCCGGGTAAAGAAAATAATGAGCCAAGAGTGGAGTCAGCAAAATTCAAAAGTTGGTTTATTTTAAGTTTGGCAATTTTCTTCTAGTTGTACGGAACTTCGGAGGACTTCGAGGGAGCGTGTACCGCAGAATGGAAAAAGAGGACGACGCCGAGGGACTCCAGGGACTCATAGAAGTTATGTGTTGGAGGAAACCGCTCTTGATTTTGCAAATTTCATTGGCCAGAGTTAATATATTTAAAAGAATTTCAGCCATCCATATCTTGGGTTCGGTGATAAGTGTTTACACTTTTGTTATCTGTATAAAAATAGTATGGCTGTTTTTATTTCTAATATTAAATGCCCAATTCTTATTCACTTGAAATGGAGAAATTACCGGGATTTTACTGAAACCGGTCTGACATTTTTTTGAATGGGTAGGATTCCCGATGTAGCTTCTATTTGTCCAGTTCGTAGTTTTATTTCCTCGTTCAGTAAACTTCCCTATAGGGACAGGCTCTTTTTTCATTTCGTACCTTTCGATCAATTTCGAAGAATTATCTGAACGGTTTTGATACAATATCGACAGGGATCTCAGATTTACGATGCCATTTTTTCAATACAAAATCGATTGTTGTTAGCAGTTGTTTTAAAACCGCTTAATTCTGCCACATCAGAATGAGAAATATTTTCGTTTAATCCTTTACTGTTTTACTGTCAGCATATCTGTTAATATATAAATATAAACGTTTAACTAGAGAAAACTACCTCTGATAATTGAACCTAAAAATACCTGTTACGTTTTTTGAATAATTATTGAATCAATTCCTAATAGGTACTGTTAAGAAATAACGCATAAATGTATTGTTTATTCTGCTCATGAATTAATATTTATGTATTATGTTTTAGGCCTTTTCCACCGAGCTATCCTTCTCTCCGGTTCTGCACTGAGCAGCTGGGCGTTGGTAGAAGACCCAGTGGACTTCGCCGTCAGGCTGGCGAAGCACGTTAACTGCACCGTACCGGAGGACTTGTACCGCGAACACGAATCGATAGTCGACTGCCTTAAGGACGTCTCGTTGGCGGATTTGATGAGCGCGGATATAACTGCGCCGGCTTTCCTCAGCGCCTTCGGCCCCAGTGTCGATGGCGTCGTTATAAAGGCGGATTTTCACGAAAACCTCTGGACCAATTTTCTCCCCGAGATGACCGGCTTCGCGCCGCAGCAGTCGATGAACGTGAAACGTTCTGGTGACTCCATCACCGGCTCGATCAAATACGACCTGCTCTTCGGGGTCGTCACGTCTGAAAGCATGTGGAGGTTCTCCTCCAACGACATCCAGGCCGGGTTCGAGGGCGAGCGGCGTGATAAAATCCTGAGGACGTACGTCCGAAACGCCTACACCTATCACCTTTCCGAGATATTCTTTACCGTCGTGAACGAGTACACTGACTGGGAACGGACGGTCCTCCACCCGATCAACACTCGGGACGCTACGGTCGCCGCGCTCAGCGACGCCCAGTTCGTCGCTCCGGTCGTCGCCACAGGGGATCTCTTGAGCAAACCGATGCACTCTTCCTCTCCAAAGACGCACCGTTCATTCTTTTACGTTTTCGACTATCAGACCAAAGACGGCGACTACCCTCAGGTTAGTAAGTTATTAAAATATTTCCATTTCAAATGACAATTCCTTATAATCATACTTTACTAGCCATAAAGAGCCTTACTCTAATACTACGTCATTATGAATGAAGACGTAGGCTTCAGTCTATATTTTCAGGAGCTAATTTAAACAGGGGAATTCTTAAGGATTTATTATTGAGTTGTTCATTAATAAGAGTCGAATTTTTAGATATAATGTTTATATCGAATATTTATTGAGACTGCAGGACTTATTCGTCCACACTGTACCCTCCCTTTATGAAACTTTACAAACGAATAAGGAGTCCGAGCTATAATCCGTCACAGATTAAATTCTGTGTAAACCAAAGTTATGTTGTGTTTATAAAGCATATTATGTTAATTGCGGTGAAACGATTTCTAAGGTCCACTCAGAAAATACAGCATATGTCCTACGTTTTTGGATAGTGAAACTACTCTAAAGGCAATATCGTTGAAATGATTTTTCACTTACAGTGAAAAAGTATAAGGCATACTCAAAAGATGTCGGGGCTTCGATTCAAGCCAGTTTATATAAAAGTTTGTTTTAAAGTTAAATAACTTTATTAAAAAAGTTCTGATAGGTTTATTCGTTGCTTTATTAATCTACTCCAGAATTTTTAGATGAAAATACGCTTTTTGTTGGTGTTTCCGACGGTTTTACCTAATTCCTGGAAAAGGGTGGGTCACCAAAATGGAAATAATGGAAACAAAATGAGAACATTCTAGGAGATAAAAGCGGTAATTATTTTCCAGATATCGGGATGTATTGCGCTTTGCCACAACATAATTTTTACAAATTTTGGTAAATGGTGAATTTATTTTAACATAATTGCGAATTTATATCTTTTTTAGGTGTTTTTTAGTTGTGTTAGAACAATCGGATAAAAATGTCATTCACGTCGAAATACGTTTAGAGTATTTATTTGAAAACCGTGATCCAAAAAAAATTCGGGTAAAAAGCAGTAAATTTAGTCATATCCTGTGTGACTATTTCATTATTTTCATTTGATAGCAGGCTTGATACGAATTTAAGTTATATTCATATCACGGAGAAAAGGGTCTCGAATTGCAAGAATCAGAGCTATATTCGTTAATTATTCAGCTACATACCAATTCAGGATAAATTTATATTTGACTTTGAATCAAGTGTAATTTGGATCAGGTAGAAAGCATGGGTTACCTGAGCATTATGTTTGGGTAAGTAGGGCTAAAAAATTAAAACGCCTATTATGAGATATATAGGAGGAGCGGTTGGAAGGGGTCTTCATGAAAATTGCAAAGCAATCCTCCACTCCCGTCGTGGAACCCTTATTTCCAAAGCTTATCCTTTGTTAAGGTGGGCAGTCTGAGCTCGGTTAGATGCAACATCCAAGCCGCAAGACTTTGAATATTTTAAAAGGCGCGCCAGAACTTGGAATGTAGCCTTGTTTATTTTACGGGATTCGATTTAGGGTTGTTCGTCCCCGCGAGGGCTGATGTATTTCGGCCGGGGGGCGGTTAGTGGGGCCCCTTTCCTGCAAACGACGGCCCCCGCAAATAAGACGTATGTTCCGACTCCCGATAAGACCGGAGCGGCCGGGAATTATCTGATCCCGTTCCTCGCCTAAATCCTTCAGGAAATTACACACTTCTACCAGCCGCGCCTTTGAGCAAACAGAAGCCCCCAGCCCGTTTTATCCAGCCGCATTCAGGGGAGAGTCACTAATCTGCGACAGTATTCTTCTTCTTAGTCGGTTTGCCAACGCATCAAATGTTAATCTCACACTTAAACTCATTTAGGTTTTCTTCTTTTTACGGCTGTGTTTGTGTTTAAAATGAGCTTTATCTCAACTAAGAAAAATACTCACTAAAAAAATTATCTTTCTTTAGCCTCCCAACTTCTGAAGAATAGTTTTTCCTTTAAATCTACTTACGTTAATAAATCCAAACATAAAACATAAACGCTGCTCATTATTGAAATTTAATCTCAGTGTTTTATTTAGTTTCACGAATATGATTTAGATGAAAAAATACAAATTTAATTGTATATTACAGTCATCATCAAGGCCTATATTCGTTACACATTATGAATACATATTTATTCAATCCATTCAACAATAAACGTAATTATATAGAGCTTATAAAACAATCATAATTATGTCTGCAAATTGGCATAATTAAGTTTTTAATAGATCGTTCAAATTTCGTTTAACACCGACTCAGTCTGAACATTCCCACAGATTATAACAATATTGCAAACTTGTCCTGGAGAGATTACACGCCTTTTAAAATCTGATCCTGCCTCTGTCTGCATGTTACAATTATTATTTTTTCATTTTAGTACGTAGACGCTTTTTATTCTTCTTCTGAATAAGGGAGACTCTTTGTCAATTATTTGGACATTCGAAAAGTCAAATTTATGCCCACATGTTAGTGAATGTTTTCATGAATATTCATGAAGAAAATAAGTGAATTCAGTTGGTACTACCAAGTTGACAACCTATTTTAAGATCATCATTAGGGGAAAACAATCTTAAAGTTATAAAGTTTTTTTTTACAGGCGATGTCATATTTTCTTGAAGAGCAACCCATTCCTAACATTCTCAAGGTCTGTAACGATTGGTTACAGGTTACAAAATAGATCTAAAATTTGGCAATAACAACTGGCTTTTTCCTTCAATGCCATATCTTGATCCAGAGAGCCCATCAGCGAAAAAGTGGTCGATACTTCTAACATTGAAATATTAATGTTTTGATAGTCCAGTACCATTTCTGGATCTATTACTATAAACGGAAACATGACTATAAATTATATTTTTTATGCTCTACTTTCTTTGACCAATGTAGCTGATTGGGCATTCACACGCAACCTATAAATAACATTGGATGACTTTTGATGACTACTTTTCTTCCTTACGCTTGTGTTTTGTATAAAAATAACTCATTTGATTATTATTTATTATTACGCCTGTAACAGCAATTGATCTCGGGTATGTATTTCTTCATCGAATATTTTCACTTTGGCAAAATCATTGTCACGTATTGTACGCTCTTGTGCGTTCACATTTCAATCGGTTTGTCTGTTCATTGTTTATTGACTTCCTTGAATTAATATGTACCCATCTATTAACCAATGTCTTTGTGTGCTTATATTTAAAATTCTTTAACTTCACTCCAGACGCATGTACGCTTAGGTACCAAAACTCTATGTAGGTTATTAGCATTATTCAGTTTTGGAGAAAAATGTGAGAAAAAAAATATTTGAAATATCTGTCTGAGCTAATTTCTTTTGTGAACCACCTATGCAACAATGTGCTCTCTGGATCTCAGATCACTTCCACGTGATGAAGAATAGAAGAATGGAGCGACTGTTTTGAATTTCATACTTAAATTTTATGTTTTCATGATTACATTAAAAAGGTAGAATTGATTATCTATATTAGCCTTTAGAAAAATCCGAAACAAATGATCGACATAGTTGCAAATGAGCATTACATGCGGGCAGTTGTTGTACATGGAATTTAATTGGCTCATGTTTTTCTATTTTGTACTATTATCTTTATTAAATCGATGAAACCATAAACGGTCCTGTTTACCTTGGGGCTATTGGCAATTTTTTTGCGAGACTACTGTTGCGGAGCCAGAACGATTAACTTTCATCGGTGAAGGTGCATTACAGAAGGCTCATTAAATCGTCACTGTATCCAAAATAAACGACCATAATCCTAGCATTATTAGTTTAGCATTATGCTAAACCCAAAGTGTTCGCCAATGAGTGAAGATTATTGAATGATCAAATTACATACTGAATATTTTCCAAGAGATTGTAAGAATATTAAATGATCATCTTCCAGACCATCTTCTTTCCACTGGAAAATGGACATAAATTCCATGTCCATTCAAACGAAATATTGAGGAGGCTTATGTATGTATCTCATTTTTAAATACATTTCAAAAATCTGATTAAGCCTAAAGATTATAGTGAAACAAATAAAAATTAGCCCCTAATTAGTGTTTACAAATAATATAAAATCTTACTTAGTCCAAACGATTTGCAAAACAAAAATTTGATTGATTACAACCCATATAAATTGGTGATAATTAACTCGTCGTGAGATAGGTCGACTAGACAAGGTAAAGATTAAAAACACTTTAAATTAACCCAGCAGACCGACAAATTTCAAATATTTCTAAAACCAATGAAATCGTAGAGAATAAGCGAAGAGAAACATGTCACACTCAAATTAGAGTCAGCAATCCTGCAAAAACGAAGAATGGGACAAAGGAGCATGTCTTTTAAATTTAGTCAAGAAGAACGAATTAAATGCAAAGTGCTACTGAGGAAATTATTATGAACATAATTGAAAAATTCAGCATTTTTATGACAATTCGAAAAAATTAACAAATAAGTTATGCATTGCAGCTTAAACACATTTAAAGTTAACCTCTTGTAAGTTAATCGACAAATCGACCACTAACGATTGCATAATTTAATTTAATATTGCTTGTCCATAAAATATCCTAGCGATGTTAGCGTGAAAGGGGAAGGTCTGGGTAAGTGGTTCATATTTCGACTAATGCCCATTCAGAAAAAACTTTGTCATGCAGCCACCTTGACAAGTTGTAAATTGTACTAACTCTTTTTGTTTTGCTGTTTTCCAATTTCTGCTTGGCAAGTCTAAAATTTTGGCAATCTTTTAGTCCATCATAAATTAAATTTTGTTATTTTCACTAAGATTTTATTGTATATTTTAGTATCAATTTTTATGATTAAGTGAGAATTTAGACTAAAGAATTTATTCCTAAAGTTGATTTCTAGTTCAAAATTTCAAAAAAGTTTTACTTAGATGAAAAATTGATATTATCTTAAGAAAATATCAACACTTGGTACATTTTATAGTTGGTAGTTTTGTACCATGTAAAATTTTTCTGAATTTTTTTCTCTCCAATCACCTCCGAATTAGATGAAGTGTTTTGATTTGGAAAATGAAGATGTCGCCGAATTTC